TGTAAGGGGAGGGGTGCTAGATTTGGTGAGGTGAGCGCCTTGCAAGTTGTGTAGATCTCTGATCAATATGCTATACAGTTGAGGCTGGTGCGTTGTATGCCAACTATAATTGAAAAATAAAAGCTCACTGAATTGTACAATGTAAATGCAGGCAAGTAGTTGTCTATTGTATTTCAATAAAGACAAAAAAAAAAGAATGAGAAAAGGACAAAGGACTAAGTAGTTGTTAAGTCAGTTTTAAAATAATTTGCGTGGCTCAAAAGTTATCTCATATTTTAAACCAAAATTTCAGATTCCAAGTAAAAATGATCAGAATAAGATTAAAACAGAAGATTTACATTTTTAAATAGTTATACATTATTCTCATACAATGAAGAAGTAAACCAGAGGCATTTAAAACATTCAAAAAACCTTCCTAATAAAGAAAATTGCTGTGATTTGTTTTTCTGAATATTCTTATACATGGATTTAAAGATAACCTAAATTATGCAGATGCTTAGCTGTAGTGATTCATGTCTTATCTGATAGCAAAAAGGCCAATGAATGTTCATTCTAGATCTTTGACCTTATATTTTACTTTAGCTCCAAATTACATGTAATATTTTTAACAGTTCCTTTGTTTTCCACTAGATGGTGATACAAGCTCATATAAAATGAAAAAAAATTGCGAATATCAAAAAAAAAATCTACTTATTTTTTCAAAGGCATAGCTGTTAACAATTTTTTGCATAATAAAAATGTCTCTAGGACTGTGTATACTCTTCCCCAACCCCCAAATGCTTTCCCTGTTATAAACAGTTAAGGTTAAAAATTAAAGTCTTTACCAGTTACTTTAGATCAATATTTAAAACAATGACCACTGTATCATGTCACATGATAAATTTCAGGACTACATGAAAAGGTACTACAACAGAAATGATAAACTGGCTTGGAAACAGAAACATGCCACTGATAAAACACAAAGTAGATATAGTATACAGCCATTTCTTAATTATCACCAATTGCTACAAATCATAACAAATAAAAAAGCCAGTTAAAGGCAGCTCCAATGGTGGAACAGCTGTGGGCAAAGCCTGAAAAATAGAAAAGTCCAGAGACAGGAAGATCTACATTTGAGTTCTGATTCATCTACTTACTTGACAGGTGACCCTGAGTGAGTTATTTAACCCTTCTAAAGAGCATCTTTTGTAATCTATAACAGAGGTCCCCAACCCCTAGGCTGCGGACAGGAACCAGTCTGTGGCCTGGAACTGGCCTAGGAACTGGGCCGCACAGCAAGAGGTGAGTGGCGGGCAAGCAAGTGAACCTTTATCTGTATTTGTAGCCACTCCTCAGCACTAGCATCACCACCTCAGCTCCACTTCACATCATCATTCATTAGATTCTCATAGGGGCACTGGTTCCTGGTGCCAAAAAGGTTGGGGACCGCTGATCTAAAGCATAGGTGTTAAAAGCTAACTTGTAAGCCCGTCATGAGAGTTAAAATATAATAATGTACTCAAATCACTCAGCGTCCCTGGCACACAGTAGGTAGAATTTAATGTTAAGTTCCTTTTCTCTTTCCTTTTATCCTACTCAGATATATATACACATAAGAATATTTTTTAAATAAAAAGAACCATTTGCTTTATAAAATGCTGAGTGTTTACATGTTCAGAAGAGCAACACGTCTTTATGTAATACAAGCAGAAAAAATGCCTTCCCAGTCATTTCACTAAGGGATGTTAAATTTACAGTTGTAACATAACTTACCTGAACAATGACTATCTACCTTACATGAGACTGAGTAACACAAAAACAACAGATGAATACTATTTTTACAAAACTAAATAACTAAAGAACAACTCTAATCCTTACCATTTGTAGAAACAGAGTGCTCCAGTTTAGTATGTGTTTGTTCTATATATCGGACATGGAAATTCTTTCTTCGTAGCCGGTTAATGCCAGAAAATGAAAAAGCAGTTATTGGTAAATCTGGAATAACATTTTCCTCAGATTCAAGCTCGGCTACTTGATGCTGTTGATCATTCCTAGAGGAAAACAATGACAATTGAAAGAAAATTAATTCAATAAATATTTACTACAACATCTACCATATGGAGCTAGTGCAAACCATAGGCACGAAATTGTAAGAAATGTAATACCTTGCATCTAATGTTCATAATCTAAATATAAGGATTAGCGAAGTACTCAAATGATTAGAATGGGGAATATTATTGTGAGAAGTGAAGTACAAAGTGTAGTTGCTGGCACTTGAAGTGAAATTAAAAGAATTTCAAAGGGCAGAGAAAATCAGCAGAAGATCTACACAATTTGAGTAAAGGCATGCAGTATTGTGTACTTGTGTTAGCAAAAGGCAAGCTGGAACTATGTGAAGAGCCTTGATTAAGTGTGCACAATTTGGAAAGAAAGAAGAAAAGAGTTAAGGTTTTAGAGCATGGAAATAATGTGACAATCTGGCAGCAGTGTGGAAGATTGACTGGGACAGAAAGAAAGGAGGCAAGAAAATCAATTAGACAATGGTTAAAATATTATAGGCAAGAGCTTCTGTGGATTTGAACCAGGAGGTTGAAAATAGCTATGGAAAGAAGGGACCAATGTTAAATACTGTGGCAGTAGAACCAACATGACTTGGCAAATGACAAAAATAGGATGATAAATAATACTAACATTGATAACGACTGACATTCTTCCAGGTTTATATGTCAGTCACTGTTCAAAGTACTACATGTATCAGTTTAATTATCATAACCGTATGAAGCATTACTAAATACTCTCATTTTACAAATGAAAAAAATGAAACTACGGAAGTCAAGTCACTTACTAAAATAATAAATAACAGAACTAGGATCTAAATCCTGGCAGCCAGACTCTAAGGAGAATACTGTTAACCACTGTTATTCTTAGCGTAGACCAAGAGACTGATGACTGACTACAGGCAGGATTCAACCTTTTAGCTTCTTCCCCTGTTTCTATCTGGGCCCCCTTAAAGTCTACTCTCAATACATCAGTCATAACAGTCGTATTAAAAATTAAGTCAGATTATGTCACTCCTATGATTAAAACCTGCCACATCTCCCCATTTCACAGAAAACACAAGCCAAAGTCCTTTTAATAATGTATGAGGTCCTACATGATCTGACTGTGCCCCTCCTCTACATCTTCTCTGACCTCTTTTCATTTCATACTCTATTCCAGCCACCCTTACTTCGTTGAGGTTCCTCAAACACATAGTAGGTTCTCAATAAATATTTGCTGAATGAATTAATGATTAAGAGATTCCCAGATTCCACTAGAAAAATAAAATTGTGCTGATCTAGGCATATGTCCAACTCAATTCAGAACCAATGGCACCTAAAGACTGGGTTTGGATTCAGTTGTGGTTAGTGAGTAAAGTTAATTAACTTTAACTCAACTGACTTTCCCATGTTAAACCATTACTGACTTTATCTGCCAATCAATTCTTACCAGTCTGTCAGGCCTTGCGTGACAAAACCAGTCTGTCCTATTATACTTCTATTTGTAATATTATTTCCAAACAATGATAATTTTATAAACTATGATCAACAGATTTAAAAAAAATATTAGAAGATAAAATTAATTTTTCCCAACACTGATTTAAATCTTAATTTCCTGGATAATATCAATATTACTATGGTCTATAATCTTTTATTCTATATTGACGATCTTTAGAGCTAATATCTTATTTTTAATCTCTCCCTACAAATTCCACTGTCTTATTCTGGAAAAACAGTAAGTCAGTCATGTGAGAAAGCCTTATGAGTTAATGGAGTGTGAAATCCATCTGACCTCACTTTAACTAATCACATCACAGCCTACCTGCCTATTAGTCATAAAAATTCAACCTGAAACATGAATGAGTCACAAGAAGAAACTGATTTCCTGGCAGAGGTGATCTAGATCTAGAACTAGCTGGGATCACAAAAGAAAGAAAAAAATGGAAAATTAGATCTAACTAGAGGCGTCAAAACTAGTAAGTGCTGGCTTTGTCCTTCCTTAGTCATTAAAAAAAGGGGGGAGGTGGACAAAACAACTTCCATGTGTTAACCAAGTTTCTTCTTTAAAGCATTAGGACTCTCTGTTTTGCTAAGGAAAGTTAAATTCACGCCACAGCTTCTGGTTTAAATTAATTAGGCACCCTGGTCATCTTCTCTTTTAACTTTTCCCTCTAACAACTTGAATATAATTTTTTTATTGTTGTATACTTTATTAGTAAGCCTCCCCTTAAATTCCTGTCAAAAGTTTTAGTTGTTCTTTTTTCCAAAGATCTATAAGTATACAGTCTCCTTTCATAAAGTCTGTAAAAAGATTTTAACTTTCAACTTCTCTCCTCCTCTAAAGAACTTATATACTTCTGGTTAAAATGTAATTTAAACTTAATGAAGGAGTTAAAACCATCAAGTTCACTTAAATATTATGACTTTCAGAAAATGAAAGGAGAAGCTTCCCTAAGATACAAACCAGTAACTCTCATACTCTGATCTCTTAAAACCAGTATAAGCTTACTATATGAGTAATTAAAAGTAAGACTAATTTTGAAAAATAGCATTACGAAATCAATTGTTCTGAGGAATGGTTTATTATATATCTGGCTCTCAGGAAGGCATCTGACAATGATTCTCTTGCTATCATTGTATACAAAAAGAAGAAATATAAACTCGGAGTTAATAAAGACAGACTCCTGACTAAACAATATCACACAAAGAATTATCATTAATGAAAGAAATCTGTAGTAGCATGCCTCAAGGCTCCATCTTCAGGCAAGTACTGTTCAACATTTTATTAATGATTTTTGATGCAGGGCACTGATGGAATATTTATCAAATTTGTAGATAACACAAAGCTGAGAAGAAAGGCTAACCTAATTACTTAGCAGGAAATAAAATTAGCATATGAAAAGACACCCAGAAGTTGGAATAATGGGCCAAATCTAACAAAACAAAATAGAACAGGATAAATATGAGCTAAAGGATCACTGAATTGAGTCAGAAGAGAAAGAATCCAGGCTCTGCCAGCTACACAGTGATGCCATGTAGGTAAACTTCTGAGGCTGTTTCAGCTCAAAACTATAGAAAGAGTATACAAACTTTCAAGTGAAAAAGACCTGGGTTCAAATACTAGGTCTGACACTAACTAGTTACCTTGGGTAAGTTATTTAACCTTTCTGAGCCTCATTTACCTTGGATACCTATAAAGTAGGTATGGTACTATATCTTTCCTACTTCCTTTTTGTAGGGACATTGTGAAAAGGAAAAATATATGTAAAGATGTAATTCAATGCTCAGAAAATAGGTATTTATCAACAGTGCTATTATCGTAAAATGGAGTAGGCTAAATGATATAGTTTCTTAAAAAAAAATCTGAGATGAAGAAAGAAATGATTCTGAAATCCTGTTTATATCTAAAAACAAATCTACAAGCAGAGGACAGGGAGTAGTAAACCCAATAAGGAACCACCAGTAACATTTGTATGTTTTGACTACATTAATGCAAGTAAAAAAGATACAGAAAAATAGAGGAGGTAGTATTACTCTATCAGGGAGACTATACCTAGAATATTGAGTTCTAAATTAACATATTGACAAACAAAAACATTAAGAGAAATGGTATTTTGAAGAGTCTTGAAGTAATATCACATGAGAAACAGTTAATGAACAAAGGATATATACTTGAAAGAACATAAGACTCAGGAGGGCCATGACGGCTATCTTTCTGTATATAAAGGGCCACCAAGTAGAAGAGGGGGTAAATTTGTTCCAGATGGTACCAGAAGGCAAAACCAGAATCAATAAATATAACTTGTAAGTAGAGTGATTTCTACACAAACTTAGAATTTTCTATTAATTTCATCTCACTAAAATTAAATAGGCTTGGAAGACAGTGAACTTGTACTAAAGGTGTTCAAACAATGCTATTTGTTAAAGAAGTCATACAAGGAATTTAACTTAGAAGAGAGTACGGAATGAAATGAATGCTACAGTTATTAAATGTATAGACTTATGTATAAACTCGTTTGACTTTCACTAAACCAGCATATCCATTTCCCCAAACAAAGAGTCATGACCTCAATGCCTAACTTATTTAATTGTTTGCTTTCTGTGACTGGTAGAGTTGAATATACATATATATTTAAATTTTATAATGGCAAATTGTTACTGAATAATTTCATATTATACTGTCGCTAAATAACTGTCCTACCACATAAGGTATCTATAATATTAAAATTGGCTTAGGTTGGTTAGAATTACTGCATTTCAAAAGCCGAAGTATGAGCCAAACAACTTTTTTTTTTAAATTCAGGGGAATTTCAAGCACTAACAGTATGTTATAGTGTTTTAGGTAGTCAGAGGAAACCAGGTTGCCTGCACAAGATAATACTTGCTATTTTTTCAAACTGCCAAGCAAAAAGAAATTTGTTTGAGGAAAGCAAACTACAAAAGAAGTTGGCTTATGAGAATAACTATCTTGAATTTCAGAAGAGAACTGAAAGACACAATAGATTACCTAATATACTGTTCTAAGGCATGTCCTAAACATACTTGCCCTAAACTCATTTACATAATTAATATTTACTGTAACTTCAAAGTTCAACTTTTTTATCTTTCCTAAAATATATATAGGCTTCAACAAAAAAAAGTGTGTATTTGAGAACATTAAACTAATTCTGATTAATTGGAATTAGTATTTCTACCAAGCAAATAACATTATCTACTTCAATGCTTTATTCACTTTGGTTTTTAAGGTAATCACCTAATTCTGTATTCAACTCTACACACTCATTATCTTTGGTATTCATAAATATCAAGGCTGATGTGTTCAAAATACCATAAGCTACCTGTGCTAAATAACTTCAAATAACAAATTAATACAGGTCAACAATCACTTATCTGAAATCTTTGGAAATAAATGTAATTCAGAGTTCAGATTTTCTTTTTTTTTACATTAAGGGTAATACAGAGCATATACAGATTATTACATAACACCCCCAGTGCAGCCTGAGGCATCCTGTAGTCAAGCACAGATATTTTCACAGCAAAACATAGAAATGTGGTGGGATAAATAAGGACTCTAAATAGCATCTTGTCAGTTGAAGTGAGGTTATGAATAACATTTCAACAAAAACCTTTTGAGTTTGGGAATCATATTTAAAAGATTGTGGATCTGTGTTCTAGCCACACTTCAAAACCAGTAAAGACTCACTCTAAAACCATTAAGACTATCCTGAATCTTAATTCTTAAAAAATATTATATAAGCTTTATATAAATGAGAAGTAAGAGCAAGTTATATCTCTGCTCTGCATCAGTCAGACCATACCAGAAAAATAGATTATTTTTGAGATATTCTTGCATAACGAAAAGAACAGAGGCCTTTAAGTCAGAAGACATTGGCCTGAGTGACAGTTTTATAACTCACTAACTGTGAGACTATGGCAAGTTATTTGACTTTTGTGAGCTTTGATTTCCTCATCCATAAAGTAGAGATAATGAAACTACCTTGGAGAATCATAATGAAGATCATAAATAATAAATATAAAATACAAAGAAGAGTAACTGGTATACAAGATAAATTATTTTTATTCTTTAAGAGAAATGATGGGAGAGGGGAGAAGATCAACGAGAGGAAGCTCTTGAGGCCTGAGAAGTGTGTAAGAGGAAATACTTATTCATTGTGCTTTTGTGAAGCTTCTGGGACAGGACTGGAAGACATACTTTAAATATTAAAACTTTTCATTTTAATTATGTATTATCTATAATAATACATTATAAAAATTAAAATGCTTTAAATTAAAATGTTCAGATAGTTTCTTTATACACTGTACGCTAATCTAAGAGATGTGTACACATACTCTTCATATATATTCCAAAGACATGAACAAAAACATAGTGGTTTTCTTTGTATCTTTTATTGCAGAACAATTTATAATTTTTAAAAATAAAATCTGCAGCTCTTAATATATCTTTACAATTTGTATAGCTAAGTAAAATGAAGAAAAGAAAGTTGGGAGAAAATATTCAATTTTCTGCTGCAATTTAGAAAAATACTTACTCAATTTTCTGCTGCAGCTGTTCAGAAAGCTTTTTATTTTCTTCCTGTAGAGTATTCTTTTCATTCACTTAAATATAATGTGAAAAAGAAGGCATATATTATAACTCTATTAACATGTATGTTAGGCTTTTTAAATATTTCAACAATTATGGAGAGATCAGAATTTCTAATTCTAAGTCATAATGTTAGTCAGGGTTAATGTTACCATGCAAAACTAATTTGTTACTAGGTAGTGATTAGTCTATCTTATATTGTGCCAGTTCCATGTAAATAATTAACTGATAATTTTATGTAATGTTGTGGGCAGAAAGAAAGAGTACCTCATGTACTGGGGAGTGGAGTCTAATTATTCATATTGAGGACAAGAAAGCATTCCATCTGGTTACTCAGCCCTACTAATTTCAAATACCATTTTAGTGAGAGCCATTTATCTTGAAATAAATCTAATCATAAAAGTAATATAACACTGAATATCAGTGTCATTTTTATAACATAAACACACTTAAGTCAAATTTTCTTCCTTGGTCATACACTATGTTCCATGAATAATTATGGTATCAGTAATCTAAACATATCCATTGAAGTAGAATCTGTTTGTTTGAATCTACCTCAACTAAATTCTCCTATCCAACCTTATCTAATTTATAAAGCAGAAACTCAATTTTGGTCTATAATTTCCACTGTAGCCGGCACAAAATTCTTATCGGTCTTTAGTATGATGTCACTGGTTAAGCATGTGTTTTACTAGGAGGAATACATACAAGAGATCAAGTCACAAAATATAATTAACCTCTACCAAAGAAAGTTAATCATATCCCAAAAATTTGTTAATGATTTAGTGTTTTACAAATCTAAACATATTTTCTTACATTGAGTAAATAAAATTTTTTGACTATCTATAATATGTAAGGTTGCTAAACTACCTCCTGTGGAGAATCTAAAAAAAAACTTAAGATATGAACAATGACCTAAAAGAAAGTGGAGTCTAATGAAAGACAAGCTATTACATAAACATAGTTTATAACTGAAAGTGACAAGGAATTAAGAGAGGTACAGATAAAGTATTAAAGAAAATTTCAAAGAGAAAAAGGTTGCATTGGGCCCTTGAGAAAATTAGGAAAGAATTGATCACAGAGAGGACAATGGTGCTGAACAGGTGACTATTCTATGCAGAGATTTAATGAAACAAACTTAGATGGTAAGAATGGGTATAATAAATGGTAGAAAGCCGTCAAAAGCAAGCTAACAAGTGGAAATTTGCCTTAAAAATTTTCACTGATGAATGATGGGAAAATTGATTTGTTAGTATGTATTACACCAAAGTGAGAAGAAAGCATTGACAAGTCAGGCTATTGTTAAAAGAAATGAATTATCTGGACTAATGTACAAGGTACAGAAATAGGAAATAAGAAGAGGCAGAATCAGTAGTTATTTGGCAACTCATCCTCTATAGAGGAAGTCAAAGATGACCTTAGCTTTCTGATTAAGATGGTTTACTTGACTCCCCCTCCCTAAGTCTAATGAAATGAAAAAACAACTCTAAAGGTCAGTCAATTGTGATATTGAAAAGCCAGAAAGGGTGCCTCTCACTAGTGGATCAGAACTAAAGGGATTCATAAGAGGATTAAGATGTTAATTTTACATTTTAGGAATGCATGGTAAATTTCAAGTTTGATCAAAAAGAACAGAAGAATTAAAGAAAACAGTAAAAAATCAAATAAAAATAAAATAAGAAAAACAAACATACTCAAAATCCAGTAACTAGGAAGAGTAAAAACAAAAGGCAAGACAGGAAGAAAAAAGTAGCAATGAGATGAAAAACCAAAAATTCATAAATATGAAGTCCTTAGTGTTTTTATTCTTAAAACAAATTTGTTTTGGATTTGACTTTGATGATTTTTCTGTTGCTCAGTTTCAGGTAAAATTAGTTTTCCTGAATTTTTCAGTAATCACATTGGTGGAATTATTCATGGTATTATTCTGAGACTACTAGCTTGTAATAGATTAAAAATGTGTAGTTGGGGATATTTTAATTCTGTCATCCCTGTGTCCTTGAGAAACAGGATACTCAGTGTGGAAAAAAGGAGATATAGATGTTAGTAGAAGAGGTTAGTAAAAGATCCATAATCTTGAATTTGAATTTTCAACATAAACTCACGAAGTATTTTATATATCTGAAAATTAGACAAAGGTTATTTAAGCCATTCATCCAAGAAGATATACAAACTAAAGATGATGTGAAAAGATACTTGACCTGGATAGTAATAGAAGAATGCTAATTTAAAAAAGGTATCATTCTTTACCCACCAGATTGGATATTATCAATTACTACATTTGCCAAAAGCTGAAGAAGATGTAGGAAAATGGACATTCTCAAACACTCAAACAAAAAAAAAATTGAGCTGTCCATCAATATGAGAATGGCTAAATAAATGATATCTACACTACAGAATACAATGTAGCCATGAAAAAGAACACTGTCCAATTCTTTAACACTTAAGTTTTTTGTTTATTTGGAGTTTTTGGCTGTTCTCAGACAGTTAAAATTGCTGGAAGTCTGACTATTAGATATGCAGACATTACTGGAAATCCTCTCTAGTACTAATGATACTAGTGGATCCCAATTATGTTTACTGAGATGTAATAAATGTAATTTCTATTCGCTGGTAATATTCTAACATTCCTAAATAAAGACATGTATGTATTCACACATACACACTATAGAATCTAAAGAGCTAAATATATTAACATGTAAAGACTTTTAAGACATAGTATAAAATGAATAACAAATGTCAGAAAAAGAAGTATGGTATAATTCCACAGAAATTTTAAAAAGAGAGAGGAGGAGGGGGAAAAACAAAGGACAGAGGAAGACAGAAAAAGAGAGAACATGGACCTGGAAAGATATTTATCAGATTAACAGTAGTTACCTCTGGGAACAGAATAAAACTATTCTCTTTCTATCTCTTTTTAAAAAAATGAGCATATATTCATATATTCTTGAGTAACCAGAGGATAATATAATTAATATAAAAATGTATAATCAGAAGATGGGATTTGTTTGGAAAGGAAGATAAATTAATCAGATTTTGGACATGTTGATTTTGAGTTGGGAACCCAGATAAGGGTCAGCAAGAGAGTATATAGTTAAAAGAGAAGAAGGTTAAGAGGTATTAGAGAACAAAAAGGTTAGGAGAAAAAGGTTAAGAGAAAAAGGCTAAGCATGTGGGAAAATCCTACATTAAATGGGTAAGGAACTAAATGAAAACAGTATACTCGTAATATTATGTCATGAAAACTAAAAAAAGTATACACCTTTATCAAACACTAAATTGTCTGCTTTAACTTTACTAAATAGTCAGATTACATAAACTAAAGATAAAACCAAAGCGGCAAATATGAACATATTCAAAGGACATTTGCTTTGTCTTATAACTGGTGAGACAATGTGGATAGTATTTACACAACTTTTTTGTACCCTATTTCTTACTAAAATAAGCATGATTATATCTACACAAAGGGAAAAAAAGACATTTGAACTTTTGCCTAAAGAAGGAAAAATATATGTAAACAATCCATCTGATTGCAACCAATTGACTAATAGGTTTTAACAACAGTACATTATGCTTGAAATAATAAATGAAAAAAGGAAACTCACTAAGCTCTGTGATAAGTTTAAGATTCTGCTGCCGGATATTTTCAAATTCTTGCTGTTTTTTCCGCATATGTTCTTCAGTTACTGCACAGCGATCACATAATCCTGCTCTTAAACTATGAAACAAAAACAAAATATTTTTAGAGTGAAATATAAAGGAAAAAATCTAAACTACTAAAAGATATTTCTTTATATTTAAACTCCAAGATTTTTCTACTTTATGAATACTGAAGAACTGATTTAACAAATAGAGAGATAATTAACTATTTTAATGATGTACTGTACCTTTAACAAATTCTCAAGTAGGCTGAAATGATGCTACAATATTACTTTCTACAGATGGCAATTGTGAGTCAAATTCTGTAAAAATCTGCCAATTTTAAACTCTGCCCAAGGGAACTTATTTATTAGAGAAATTTGTTTTAATTTATTATAGCCCAAATATTAACCCCAGTACAGTACTAAGGGGCAGAATTATATCTTAAACAAGCTTGCATCTGCTTTGCTCAGCATAGTACATAAAACATGATGAGTGTGCAACATTTTTAGTTGAATTAATACGAAAACTCAAGGAACTCCAAGTTTTTTAAAAAGTTACCTTATATTTTGCTCTTTTCAGCTTTTAAAAAACTCCTGTTAGTAAAAATTCACAATGTATTATTATATAAAAAAATTACAAATAGCTTTTACTAATTATTTGTGAACACTAAAAGGAAGAGGAAAATGTATATATTGTATCGGGGAAGTGGGGCATGGAGAGAGAGGCATACTCCAAAATGTTGGTAATAGTTATCTTGCTGGTACCAGTATTACAGAAGATTTTCTTCTTAGTGTTTTTCTATATGTTTCAAATTTTCTATAATTTAATTATTTATAGAATCAGGAAAAAAATATGGTTAAAAAGAAAAAGACACATACCCCACATTAGAAATTTAGAAAATATATATTCTAAGATAATAATTTCAACTCAATAACCTAAGTGAATAAGATACTAAGTATTTAAGTGTCTATAGAAGTCAGAACATGGTAGTACATGCAATGAATTAAAAAAAAAATGTTAAAGAGATAAAACATGAAAACTGTATAACTAAAAAAGAACCTAGAGATTTTTTATATGAAAGTAAAAATCATATCGACAGTGTTGATAAGGATGTAAAAAAATAAAGACTGGGGGTCACAGGTTGCATTAATGAAATTAGAATTTCTAGAATGAAGGAATAATGAATTGGGCATCATGGTTTAATTGGCGTACATTCTGATGGCAGGATAGGATGGTCCAAATCTTTGAAACTATACTGTATGATGAACAACATTTAAGTAAAGATGACAAAGTGAAAATTTGCAGCTATTTTTTGCTCGCTCCCCAAATGTCACAAAGCTACAGTAAAGACATCTGTATACATTTAAAAACAAAAACCCATGAAGACAGGGAGAATGGGAGAGAAAACAAAAATAATTGAAAGCAAGGTAGCTGGCAGACAAATAGAAACTGACCTGAGATGCTGAATCCTAAGCCAATGGTAGGAAAAGTCTAGAACTGTATTGTCCAATATGGTAGCAATAGCCACATGTAGCTATTTCAATTTGAATAAATTAAATTAAAATAAAAACTGAGCTCCTCAGCCACCCTCAAGTGCCTAATAGCTACTCGTGCCTAGTCGCTACCATACTGGACACTGCAGATATAGAACATTTCGATTATCACAGAAAACTCTATTGGACAGTACTGACGTAGAACCAACCTAATTTATGCTGTAGAATTCCCAGAATTCAAAAATTGGTACCAGCAATGATTAATTTGAAGCATGTTTCAAGAAACTACCATATTAACATATTCTCTCCTATATTCTGAACGGTCAAGTGATTACCCCTTTAATTCCCAGCATCAGACTAGTGGTTTCATCTCTAGAGAATCTAAGACAGTGTCTGGTCTGGGGGACACCAGGTATGGTTAAAGGTAGGAGTACAATAGCGAAGTAAATGTAGATGCACACCAAATTCTCAGATCCTAGTTTAGGCTTCGTCATTCACTTGGCTTCCAGAACATTGGTACCCAGCCCTATTACACTGGCATAAATCCAATCCAGCAAGAAGAATTAAGGAGTCTTCTCTAAGAAATCTGACCAGCCAAACAGGAAAGACCTAAAGATACTGACACTAGAGGACCATCAATGAAACAGACCTGAGGGCAAATCATCACACAGTGCAGCTCATAGTCCATAGCTACACTCAGAGCTTCTAACCACTTTCATTCCCTCTCTTAAACATAAACAGATAATCAAGTATCAACAGACATCTGAGAAAAGCTTATAAAATGAAAGGAACTACAGCAAACAAGACATTAAGAAAAAACAAAAAAGAAATATAAGCTATGTAGGGAGAAGAGAAAGAAAAACACCATCACCACCACCAAACTATAAATACAGGAAAATAAAAAGGTACCAAACTCTGAAATGAAACGGGAATTGCCATAATAGGAAGTATTGAGAACAAAAACAAATCTCAGATATTAAAAACCTAACAGCAGAGGAAAAAACTCAATAGAGCGTGAGAAAATAAAGTTGTGAAAATCTGAAAAAGTAGTGTAAAAATGCAAAACCAGCAAAGATAAGAAAATCCATAACATCAGTAATAGGCATTCCAGAAAGATCAAGTAGGGGAGTGGTGTAGGAAGGCAGAAAAGGAGGAACAGAAGAACAAAAGACATGAGACATATAGAAAGCAAAATGGCACAAATCCAACCAGATCAATAATAACATTAAATATGAATTGATTAAACATTCCAATCAAAAGGCAGAAATTGTCAAATAGGACAAAAGATTAAGATCCAACTATATACTGTCCAGTCAACACACTTTAGATTTAAAGACACAAATAGGCCAAAAGCAAAAGCATAGAAAAAGATATACCATACAAACGAAAATCAAAAGAGAACTGGAATATCTACATTAAGTAATATCAGACAAAATAGATAGACTTTAAGATATAGTGTTACTAGAGACAGTGAATTTTATAATACTGTAAATTCATTAAAAAGACATAACAATCATAAACATATGTATTTAATACTAGAGCTCCAAAATACAGAGCAAAAACTGACAAAATTGAAGGGAGAAACTCAACAATAGTTGTAGACTTTCGCCCTTAATAATGGATAAAACAAGTAATGCAGAAAATCATCATAGATATAGCCAACTTCAATACACTAAAAACAATCCAGATCTGACGTCTATGAAAACTCTAGCCACTGCAGAATACACATTCTTTTCAAGCACATTTGGAACATTTCTAGGATAGACCATTTTCTAGATCATGAAACAAGTCTTGAGCTTAAAAGCACTGAAATCATACAAAGTATGTTCTTTTACCAGAATAGAATTAAATTAGAAATCAACAACAGAAGGAAATTTGGAAAATACACAAATACGTGAATCTTAAAATAATGCAATACTAAAATAAACAATGCATTAAAAAAGAAATCTCAAGAGAAATTATTAAAAAAAAAAAAAAAAAAGAATAGAGCTACAGCTGAGTGCCGGTGCCCCAGTACAAAATCCCACCTATTGGGAGCCCTCCAGGCCAAAGGATAGCTCCCCACTTCCTTAATGAAAAGTAAAGTTCTCATGGCATACACAGAGCCTCCAGCCCATGTTCCTATTCACAGGAAAATTCCTGGGGAAGGGGAAAAGTGGAAGGGCTGGGGTAAAACAGATATAGTTAAAAGCAGAGTATATCATGCCAAGTATGCAGAAAATTCAAGCCAGTCTCACATTCTTAAACATAGACAAAGATCACTAACTAGTGTATGAAGTAACATTATAGAGAAAACTAAAACTGGAACAGGGAGAGGTAGGAAGAGTGGAACAGCAGACCACTGTTTTCATTATAACTATAGGACTTTACAATATACATGTATTACTTGAATAAAAATTCAAAAGGGGAAAACATAAAAATAAACCAAATAGTATATTATACTCCTTTTCATTATAGCATTTTAATTTAATATTACATTCTAGTAAACTTTGAATTAAATCTTTTTGAGCATTAAGGTACTAAAAAGGACATACACCTCCTTATCTTTCTGCTATGATACTTAACGTTTCCAGACTTCCAAGCATTTCTAAAGCTAACAGTATAGTCTATTTAAAATTCCAAATGAAATCAGAATAAAGTCTCTTTAAACTGTTCCCAAACCATGACACTGTTAAACCGTTATAAGAAGAAACTCAATTTTAACTATTTGCTTAAAATACTTCATATTTCATATTTACATTTCTAAGATTCATTCAAATTAATAGCTTGGGGATCCATGCAATAAACATTCAAATAGTTGACCTGATTGTGGTAAATAATTTACACAGAGCTATTAAGCTATAGAGGCCAAAGAGCACATGACATTGAAAGGTCTTTGAAAAACATCAAAGAAGTTAAATGGCATTAAACAGTTTTAATGAATGATTTAAATATCATTCTACTAGTCGGTTTGTCATTAGAAACTAAACACCTTATTGTTTCTAAGAAATCATATTTTACATAGTAAAATGTTATAAAGTATGTTGAAAAACCAAACCTCGGGACCCCTAGCTTCCAAGTTTAAAAATGCCACTGCCATAGACAGTTATAAAATGAAGCAATATTCTCTAGCTTGTTCTCCAATCAACTGTCACTCTTGATAATGATATCTGTTAAGTCAACTCCTCACTGCTCACTGATCTTAGTTTGAATTTAAATGGATGTGAGCAAATATGCTAGCTCCTATTTCCACCAGCAGGGTTCCACTGCTTTCCTTTTGCCTATCTTACACTGCACTGTAAAGAAAGGAAAAAAACAAGGAAGGAAAAAAAAAAGCCTCATTTTCACAGGAGAATGCAATTTCAGTAGCTATGAACAGGTAAAAGGGAAAGAAGAGTAATTCCACTGGAAAGAGCAGATAGCAACATGTGTTCTTAGTTTTATTCCAGTTTGTTCATAGATCTGAAGAAATAAAAGTGTTCATTTTGCAATTAAAACTCACCTGATTAATATACACAATTGCTTTCTATACCCCAAAAAGATTTCTTCAAATTAATGTTAATTCAAAAGAGTTTTACTGAACACCTTCAATGAGTACTGTACGTACTAAGAATACAACAGTGGCCAATACAATGTCACTTCTTTTAAAAAGTTTAGAGCTTAT